ATAACTGATAGAGATAGATGATAGATAAATAGATAGATGATAGATAGATAGATGATAGATGATAGATAGACAGACAGACAGACAGACAGACGGACAGATAGATAGATAGAAGATAGATAAACAGGTAGACATATAGATGACAGCTAGAGAGATAATAGAGATGATAGAGTAATGATAGATGACAGAAGATGATAAATAGATAGATGATAGATAGGTAGATAGATTTTGTTGTTGCTTGCAATGCTGGAGTTGGAACCAAAAACCTTGACCCTGCTGAGGAAGCACTCTACTGACCACCGAGCCACATCACTAGCCTCTTATAAGAATATATATATTTTTAAGTATTTTATTTATTTATTTTCATTTTAGGTGTATGAGTGTATTGCCTGCATGTATGTAAGTGCACCCGCAGAGCTCAGAAGAGAGCTTTGGATTCTCCTGGAACTGGAGTTACTGATGGTCTTTAGCTGCCATGTGGGTGCTGGGAATTGAATCTTTGCAAGAGCAGTCAGTGTTCTTAACCACTGACCCATCTCTCCAGCCCGAGAATATATTTTTAAATGGAATTTATACAATTAAATTTGTTACTCAGTTTCCATTGCTATGATGAAATACCAGAAGTATGCAACATATAAGGAGGAAAGATTTATTTGGGCTCAACATTTTTAGAAGTTTCATTCCATGGTTGCTTGGCTGCATTGCTCTGACCAGTGTTGAGGCAGAACATCATGGTAGGAAACAAGTGGTATAGGAAACTGCTTACTTCAGCGTGGCTTGACGTCAGGAAAGGGAAAAGAGGAAAGTGCTGGGACTCCAAATACCCTTTGTGGTACATCTATAAGGGACTAAATTTCTAATAAGCAAACAGGGCCAGTGAGGAATAATAAAAATCTTCTGTCTTCCATTTGGTCTGAAACAAAGGCGTGGGGGCTCCCCCTCTAGCCATCAGGATTTTATTATTTATTTATTTATTTATTTATCTATCTATCATCTATCTATCTACCTATCTATATACCTACCTACCTATTGTCTTCTTGAGACAGGGTTTCCCTAAATCCCCAGCTGGCCTTGAACTCACAGAGATCTGCCTGCCTCTGCCTCCCTAGTGCTGGGATTAGAGGAGTGCATCATGGTCTAGTTAAGACCAAGGCTGGACCTGAACACCTCATCGCTTGAAGCCCTATGCCCACCAGCCTTTACTTCTCTGTTTAAATTGACCAATCCAAAATTGGGAGAGAAGAAACCACTAAAATGCTTAAAACCCAGGTCCTCCCATGGTCCTTTGGATGCTCAGTTTCTAAACTCCCCTCTCTATTTGAGGAGAAATTTCATTTGGGTGAGTGTGTATATGGATTGTAATTCTTCATTCTTTCTGAGTAAAGTCTCTGATGGTCTGAGATTTTTCCTGCCTTTTAATTCTTAAGTTGGCAGAAAAAAAATGAACCCAACCTTACCCCTAGACTAATGCCAACCACAACACATCTCCAAAGACCTACTTAATCCAACTAGGCTCTACCTCCTAAGGTTTCCACCACCTCTCAAACAGAGCTAGTGGTGGAGGAGCAGGCTTCAGCACATGCAGTTTGAAGAGACATTATAGTTTACAATCTATACTATAATGTGGGTAATGTGATCCATATTTGGTGAAAATATTTTACCTATTATTTATCAATAATAGATATTTTTCTAATTGGTTTATTTTGATACATGAATACA